AAAGACTGATATAAATTTTCTCTGTCAGTTACTCGTTTCTGTGACACGCCATCTTTTTTCCTGGCATTCTTTTAATTCTTCAGCATTTTGCAGCATAAAAGAAAAAATACAATATTTTGTTGATAGGCCGTAAACCAAAACAAACATATATATAATTCACAGACAGTGTCGTTCCGCTTTAGCACTGCTCCTCAGTGCGTCTAGAAGTCCGAATGCCTCAAACCAGGACCGAAACCCAACCGATTTTGTACCAGTCAGTGATTCTAACACTAACTCATCGTCAATCTATCATATTATTTTTACGAATATATATATATATATATATATATATATATATAACTAATTATGTTAGCTCCATCACTGATATAATATATAAATAATACATATAACAAATATATATATATATATATATATATATACATATATATATTGTGACGTCGTCCCCTGGTCGCAGCGTCGACTGTGTCGTTCGATCCCGGTCGCGGCGCCAATTGTGACGTCACGTGTTCCCCAGGCTCTGATATCCTGGTCACGGACAGCACCAACTGTGACGTCTTCGCCGCGGCTCCTCGCTGCTCCAAACGTGACGTTCTAACCCTTTGGTTAGATTGATATCAGCCTCGCCGTTCCCAACCCACTTCCAACGCCTGGTTACCAGGGTAACTGCACTGATCCCCAGTCTGCCTACCCACGCTGTGAATTGATCTTAGACAGACGAGATCAAACAGGGGTTGGGGCCGTAATGCAAGTTGAGTCCAACGGGGGTGATAACACACAATTATATATAAAAGAAAAGAAAATAAAAACTCACAAGGTCCAAGTAGCGTCCTTCGCGAGACGCGGACGTCACGTGATATGGAACGTCACTGTTCGGATATCCGCTAACAAACTTGCTAACAAACAGTAATTTTAATTTATTTGTAACAAACAGTTATTTCTGATGAAAAATTGAGGACAATTTGAAATATCAAATATATATATAAATAAATAAATACTTACATAAAATAAAACATTATAATTTTCAATTTGAAACTTTTATATATATATATATATATATATATATATATATATATATATATATACTAGCTGAATTACCTGCACCTTGCTGCGTGTCATACATTTCTGGTGAAGAATATGATGTAATTTGTGGAGAAAAACGATGCATTTCATTATTACTCAATAGTTTTGCCGATGTGATCTCCATCTTATGGCTTTCTCCTTCTCTATTTTGGATAGGAGTCATTCCCTTGTTCAAATTTAAAATTTCATTTAAATCAAAATGAAAAATGTTTCGGTGGCGATATTTGAGCAAAAACAGCTTCATCTGGCCCCTTTGATATGTATTTGATGCTATACTTGATATGCTATGTATTGATGAGCAAATGTCAACATGGATATGGCAGTTGAATTTTCGCAACAAATATATATTGAAAGGCACTACCCAATGTTCGGTGATTTCTTGCTCAAATTGACGTCCATATTGTCTCATTTTGATATTGCCGAAGTGACCTCCATCTTCTGGTTTTCTACTTCAATATTGTGGATAGGAGTTATTCCCTTGTTCAAATTTAAGTTTAATTTAAATTAAAGAAAAGAAATAAGTGTGCAGGTGAGTCACTTTGATCAAAATTGAATATACTTACCCAATCACACTCGGAAATTTTCCCTTGTTCAAATTTAAATTAATTTATATCAAAGATCTAAAAATTTTCAGTGGGTGATTGTACCCAACACAGGGGATAAACTTTGATCAAAATTAAATATATATATATATATATATATATATATATATATCCAAGTAGCGTAGTTTCAGAATATATCTTCTTATGGGTGTCTATCTCCAAAACCGTAGACAGAGGTTACAACTATGATATTTTTGAACCCCCTTTTTTAGGCCAATAAATTATCAGGACCTCTCGTGTACACACACACACACACACACACACATATATATATATATATGTATGCATGTATATATATGACTATCTCTCTCTCTCTTTACACACACACACATTCATATATCTATCTATCTATATATCTATCTATCTATATATATATATATATGTGTGTGTGTGTGTGTGTGTGTGTTTGTGTGTGTGTGTGTATGTGTGTGTGCTTATGGGTGTCTATCTCCAAATCCGTAGGAGTTTGACAAAAATTAAACAGACAGACAATGGCTACGATTATAATATTTTAGAAACCCTTTCTTTTTTCGGCCAATAAATTATCAGAACTTCTCGTGAACATATGTATGTACGTATATATATATATATATATATATATATATATATATATATATATATATATATATCTCTCTCTTTACACACACACACATGCATACATACATACATACATACATACATATATATATATATATATATATATATATATATATATATATATATATATATATATATATAAAGTAAAACGTAGAAATGAAAGAAAGATACATAGAGGATACTATACATAAATTTATAGTGAGAAAGTTTTTATTACAGTAGTTGATTTTGCCCATTGCGTGACCTTGTTCTTTTTCTGAGGTGCCCAAAATGGCGCCCCGAGGAAGAAAAAATGAAGGCCTATTATTGAACAGGCAATAAAACGCTCGTAAGCGAGCCGGCTTTACACAGTGTCATTTGACATGTCTTTCTTTAGATTTTTTGTTTTCTCTTTCTTCTTTCTCCACAAATTTTATGGTCGGTTTCGTGATGAACATGATTAAAAGTAAATGTATAGTCGCTTCAATTTGCAGCTTCGGCCATCATTTTTTCGTTCATTCCAAATTTTATTCTTCATCTTCGTTTCTCTTATATTTTGTTTTGATGTTTTCAAGTTGTTTCGCTGTTTGGAAGAAAACGTATATTTAGTGATAAAATCTGTGTAAACCCTTCGCTTCATGATTTAATTCATTTTCGCACCTTATAACTTGAGGAAATTCGACTTAGCACGCATCTATTACACGTTTGCAGGGTAGGTGGCAAATGCACACACACACACACATACACACACACACACACACACACACACACACACACACACACACACACACATATATATATATATATAATACACGAAGTGACAACAGGTATATCCATTTGAGTTTTCAATGAATTTTGCACATTTTTTCTTAGTTTTAATTTTCTTTTTGAAAATCTTTTTCTTCGAATGTTACTAATACAAATCCGCCTCGTTTTGAACTTTTTCCTTCCTTAAATCTTTGATCCTATTCCTTTCTATTTGATTCTTGCTATTTTTAAAGCCTATTTCCTGCCTATTCTAATAATACATTTTTTCGCTTTTCTTTCTTTTAGTTGTCAATTTCCAACTTTCTTTGTCCCCTTGAGGTTGAGTTTTCTTTATAATTCAGACTTTCAACTTATATATATATATATATATATATATATATACTTCATGCTAGATGCAATCGTCAGGTCAACATTGCATCTAGCATAAAACACACTGTCGCCTCTAAGTGTATACTTCTATGTTCACTTTTATATTTACACACGCTCTATCTTTGTTATTGAGCACTTTATCCCATAAATATAGCATATATTATGACTATATTTCTTCATATATATATATATATATATGTGTGTGTGTGTGTGTGTGTGTGTGTGTGTGTCTATCTATCTATCTATCTATCTATCTATCTATCTATCTATCTATCTATCTGTCTCTCTCTCTCTCTCTCTCTCTCTCTCTCTATATATATATATATATATATATATATATATATATATATATATATATATACTTCATGCTAGATGCAATCGTCAGGCCAAGATTGCATCTAGCATAAAACAGCTATGTCGCCTCTAAGTGTTGACTTCTATGTTCACTTTTATATTACACACGCTCTATCTTTGATATTGAACTATTTAGCCCATCAATATAGCATATATTATGACTATATTTCTTCATATATATATATATATATATATATATATATATATATATATATATATATATATATATATATATATATATATATATAGAGAGAGAGAGAGAGAAAGAGATAGAGATAGATTGTATTTGTCGCTGTAAACATTTTTTTTATTTCTTTATTTTCTTTTTGTCTAAGTTATTCTTTCTTTCTTTTTATGTCATGTTATACTTGCGTTTCTCTGTCTCTCCGTACGTTCATCGATGTTAAACATTGTTGAATCTGTTCAGTGACTAGTTGGGTTATCGCTTGGGAATACCAGGTGCTGTAAGCTTGAATTTGCGGCTGATGAATTGGATGAGCGCTCGAGACCGTTAATCCAATTTTATTTGGGTTTGTTGTATTCACTTTCAGAATACTTGAGAAACGTATGGAGCCATCTGTTCTCCCCAGGTATGGGTTAATTAGTAAGACTTGTATAACTACATCGTTATTATCTAAAGCAATAAAATCTGAAAATCTTAAAATATTTTCTGGCTTTAAATAACCTGCAAAGTGTTGATAAGTCGTAGAAAACGAATCTTTCATTTATATCGATGTGAAGATAACGTAACCGTTACGGAAGCTAAATAGGAAAAAGGTGGGACGAGTTCAGATTTTATTTATAATATGTCTTTATATATATTTTTCTCATATTATCTTTCATTTGATTTTCTCTTCTATGTTCGCTATGGCTTTTTCCTATATTTGAAATACAATTGCCTTAAACTTTTATTCTTCTTCATTGTTTTTTTTTTTCATATTTCTTTCTTTGTACATTCATTGACCTTTGTCCTATTCTTTTTACATCCTCTTTATATTTTCTTTTGCTTTCCGTTTTCTTACTTTTTTCTCTCTCTTTCATCTTACTTTCCGCTTCATTCTTTCCTTCTCTTTCTCTTTTTTATTTATTTTCATTTTTTTTTTATTCCTGTCTTATCTTTATCCTTAAAGTAAATTATTTATTTATCTATTTATAATTTTCTTTCTTTCTTTTTCTTTCTTCCTTTTTTTTTTTTCTCCAAAATTCATTATTTATTTCTTATATAATTCTTCATTACTCTTTCTCCATTAG